AAAGATCATCTGTACCCTGAATGAGCTGCAATCTAAAGGGGAAACAGCACATGAAAGGAGACAGGAAAAAAGGGGGTGTTGGGAGGAGGGAGGATTCAACACCAGGATGTACTGTGATCCATTGAGTTGAAAACAGGCAGAGCAGCTAGAGGGTACAGTGGATAAAATTGCCAAGCCTGAAGTCTTCTTCCTGAGTTCAAAGCTGGCCTTAGACATCTACTAGCTCTATGACCTTGGGCAAATCACTTAACTCTGTTTGCCTCAATTTCTTCATCTATAAAAGGAGCTGGAGAAGAAAATGCCAAACCACTCTTATATCTTTGCCAAGAAAACACCAAACAGGGTCACAAAGAGTCAGATCTTACTGAAAATGACTCAACAACAGGGCAGCAGATGCAAGATGAAGTGATCTGAGGCATTGGGAAGCATTTGGTACTCTGTCTTCCAGGACTTCCAAGAAAGGGGAAAGAAAGCTGAGGGAGGTATAGTCAGTCTTATCTATCTATCTATATCTATCTATCTATCTATCTATCTATCTATCTATCTATTTATCTATCATCTACATATCTATTTATTTTTGCCATAAATAACATTCAATATCTTTTCCTCTGCAAATTCCTAATATCACTTTGCCTAGATCTCTTTTTCAATATTTCAGGTTTATTTATTTATTTATTTGTTTATTCATTCATTCATTTATTTATTGTTTGTTTATTTATTTATTTGTTTGTTTATCTATTTATTTATTTATTTAAACTTTCCCTCATTAGATTGTGAGTGCCTTGATATCATGGGTGTGACATAATTATCTTTTTAAAGTTACTACCTATCACAGTGTCTGGGACATAGGGAATGATTTGTAGTTCTGGAGACTGTTCCTTCATAAAATTAATTATGTTCATAAATTTTTAGAAGATTTCTATTGCAAGATTTCATACATATATCAATGAGATGTGCAGAGTTAGTTAACCTGGTTAAATCCATAAACATAACCTCAAAATCTAGGCATTCTTCTTAGCCTTTCTGATGACAGATGACAGTAGTATACATTAATGGTAATTTCCATTTGCACAGATATCTTTGGACTAGTAGAAATGCACAAGTAATGGGTACTTAAAATTCTGGGCTTATATTGCCATTTCTTTCTTATCAAAATGACTTCTGCAGTAGCTGAGTTATAGCTATCTGTATAGATTTCACCAGTACCAGATGTTCTGCCAGATGAGAGTGGTTATAAAGCACAAAATATTTCAATTTCGGAGATAGCACCAATCCTACAACACTGACATAAGTCACCTTTAACTTCAAGAACATAGTAAGGTCATAGAGGTCAAACTGAGATGACTGATTACGTACTATCTAAAAGTGCATTGCCTATAATTCTGGGATTGCCAGATGTTCAATGTTCAGTTTTCATCTTTGTCGAGTAGGGAAGCAATGACTGAATACCATGGCCCATCGATTGTTTTTAAGACCCCAGAGAACTATTTCATGTCATCATTCTGAAGCTTGCTGAAACCCAGTTGCCAATTCCACCCACCATATTGCTTATATAGATTACATGCCAACTTCTTATCATTCCATCATCAATCCAGGTCAAGTATCTGTCATATATACCACTCTAGCTTATCTTGTACTGCCATCATTTTTATGAAACAGATCCTGATATCTCTGCCTCTTTTAGCTAAGTTTATTGATGTGTAATAGATTGAACAGTTCCCCAGCTTGGTAGCTCTTTAAGTGGATTTAGAGTTTGATACCTTGTAATCACTGTACTCTGACAGCTGGCATCATAAAGACATGCAGACCAGAATCAAGGGAGGTCCTGAGGGAATATGGTATTAGATGGGTCATTTTTAATAGATGGAATAAAGCAAAGTAAGTGAAGCTATGTGGCAAAGTAGATAAAGTGCTAGAGTTAAGTCAGGAAGACCTGAGTTCAAATCTGGCCTCAGACATTTACTAGCTGTGACACCCTGAGCAAGTCACTTAACCCGTTTGCTTCAGTTTCCTCATTTGTAAAATGAGCTGGAGAAGAAAATGGCAAACCAGCCCAGTATCTTTGCCAAGAAAACTCCAAATAGTTTAATGAAGTGTGGGACATGACTTAAACAACTGAAGAATAACAACAAAAAAGTCCCAGATTCTCAGCAATCACTTATCTAAGGGAGTGTTTGAGTATGAGAGCACTAAGGGAGTGTTTGAGTATGAGAGCACTAAGGGCACAAACAGGGGTACAGAGAGTTGAAATGAAGAATTAGGAATGCCAATTTTTGCCTCTTTCCTAGCTATGCTGAACATCATTGAAAAGTATTTAATTAACATTAGCTTTACAAAAAGAGAGCCTAGATGAATCTTGGTACTGAACCTGGTTTTAATTTCTACTCCTTTGCCTATCTGGTTATCATATCATTTTGATGACACCTTTCAGCTTTGAGATTCTTAGTATGGAATGGGGACATTCAGGATTCTTTAGCAAGATTAGTAGTATATACCTCTGTGATGACTCTACCAAATAGTTTGTGATCTCATATATATCATATATGTGCATATATGATGTGCTTACATACATATATACAGAATACACATAAACATATGCATATATTTATATATACATACTATATATATATATATATATATATATATATATGCTATACATGTGTATATATAATACAGATATATACTACACATACACATATGTATAGTATATATTCTCTGGCTGCAGTCATCAGTACAGAGTAGCTTAAGAAAAAGCCTCAGTCTTTTAACATTTATAAGCTGAAAGGATTCCTCAAAGGACCAAGAGAGTAAATATCAAATTTCAAGGTCATCATTCTGTCAGGAAACTTCAGAAATGGATAGAATGATGTGGATCTTTACTGTATCTCCCTTATTCATAGTTAAAATGGAAGGCAGTAGAGGTAACAGAATGCCATCTCTTGGTGCTCTAGCATGGCTTCAGTTTGCCAGGGCCTTCTCTGGCCACCCACATCTATTTTGTAGCCTCAGAGGTCTGATAGTATCAATGATTTTGGGAGTGCAAAGAAAGGAGTGTAGAGCTCTTGATATAAACAGTTGAGATAGCTTTTCCTTTAGGTGTCTTTTCTCTGATCAACTCCTGTTTATGTCAGGCAGAGGAGAGTATGTCTGCTGTGCAGTGGTGAATGAGGAGCTTATAATCCCACTCCTGATGTTATCATTGTTCAAAGAGAGAGAGAAAATGCAATATCTTGAGCTATTGATTTGATACTTCACAAATATAACAGGTTGATTTTTCTGTCATGGTTTTTGATCTAAGTTTTCTCTGTCATTCTGAGCTTTTTTCATTTTTTTTTGGTTCCAATTCTCCTTATACTAAGACAATGTCTGTGCACCACTGCCTTAAACATCATCTTTACTGACAAAACTCACAAATAAAGACTGTTTTGAGTACTGGACCTGCTAGAGTGCATGCATTCTAGATACAAGCTAAAAATAATGTTGGCTTACATCAATCATACAAGTACAAACATCAGTCTTACTTTCTGAGAATACAAAATAAATTTAGCACTATCCTGTCACTAACTAAGGTGAAGGAAGAGTAGCCTTATGGGATTTCTCTAATCAGCTTTGACAACTGCAGCACATGATTCAAGATGATTTAAATGTTCTGTGACAAAAAGATAGTTAACAGTCTGTGAAATGTCCATTATCCTTAGTTGGAAGGATCCTCCTGATTTAAGACCTTGCCTCGGTCCCACGGGGCATTAGACAGCAGGGAAACACTAGTTCAACAACAAGCAACAAAGAGTAATCAATCTAAGGCAAAACTGTTAATGTTTTATGAATGTGTTCTGAATACCCAAAGGGAGCAGGTTAATCAATAGAGCAAGATAGAGCAGGTCGTTCAATGGCCCCTCTTCAACAACATTCTCAAAGCAGATAGGGCAACCCTTGTGTAACCAGGCTCTAGAGTGGTGCTGCATAGACCTATAACAATTATATATATAGTCCTTCCAAAGTGACAATGGGGGCTCTTCTGTCTTGGAGGGGAAAGGATTGCGATCCTTTGAATGGCTATGTGAGTTGGAGTTGGACTTTAGGTTTGTAGGAGCAGCAAGTACCTGGCTTAGAGCCACTCATTCTTCCTTTCTAAGCAAGGGAAACCTAGGATGTTTCCTTGGATATAGTTCCTATAAGCCTATGCAACCACACTCTGGAGGCTGGTTATACTCAGAAAATAAAGCCTTTCTATGTTATGTTGGATAGAATTTGGCATAAGCATAACACAACATTTTCAAAATGAAACATGCAGGCTAAAAAAGAAGTGGTTAATTCTTTTTTAGTCAATAAAATTTAATTTGAACTAATGAAATATTCTAGGCCTTTACTTTGGTGCTAGGAAAATCTAACTTTTAAGATAAAATTCACAGACCTTAACAGCAGTTTAATGTCAACAGAAGAAAACACTACAACTCTGACATCATTCCATCAATGACACCCATGCAATTATTCATATGTGATCCACTTGGAAAAGCATTCACACAAGGTTCAGTGACAGGCTACATATCACCCTCCTGCTTCACTGAAAATGAGTGAAGTAAATTGTCTGAACACTGACTCCAAAAGTCAAATGTGATGGCAATACAATACCAGTACCAGGGTAGAGTAACTCACACATTACTCATGAAGGTCCTATGGGAAATGGAAGGAGGGCTGGGCATGTCATCTGAATATTTTTTGGTGACTAGAGAGAATGAGAGCCACTCTATTTATATAATAAAAATAAGAGACAATAAAACATCAGATTAAACAACAGTACTTGGTGTTCAGTTCTAGGTCAAAATGGGTATTATGTCAAGGAAAATATTTTTTCTCTTTGATTTAACAAGAGGTACACATAGGCAGTACTATTATGTAGTTCTTGTAGGTAAGGACACATTGAGCAGGTTCTCTGAATAGATTGATTAAAATAAAAACAAAAACAAAAACAAAACTTCAACACAAGAAAAACTACTTACACCAGAATAGAAAGGCTCGCCAGACACACATATCACATCCTGCTCCTGGATCATCAAAATATCTTTGGCTAGGTGCAGTCGCACTTTGAAAGGCTCCTGATTACCATCCTGCAGCAAACAAATTCCTGTCTTTGTCTTTAGTGAAAAAAAAAAAGGAAAGAAAGAGAGGGGAAATAGTATGCTTAGTTTCCAGATTGTTATTTCAATGGCCAAATTACATTAAAACATCAAGAATAAATAGCATTTGTAAGCTGGGCATATACCATAATGAATGTAGGATTAAAGCTTTAACAGAGCTTCTTCTGCATAAAGAAAAAGAAAGTAGCCATTTAAATCAAAGTAAAGCTATGAGGAAATTGAGTTTGTGGGTCAGAAAATGAACAGCAAGATTCTCTGTTAAAAATAAGAATTTTGCCTCCAGTTTTCCTAAATAATAAGAACTCTAAGTCTTGGTTTTGAATGTTTTTAATTGCAGGGTGACAATATAGGATATGAATTGTCTTTCTTAACATTACTCTGGTACTTCAGGAATTACGCATCCCCTTTTACACAACTATACAATAGAAATATAGCAGGAAGTTGATTTGGAGCACTTCTCATGGATTTGGGCATGAGTATTTTGTCTTCATAGGCAGGTACGTACATGCTCTGGCATAAACAATCTCTATAGAAAGCAATCCATTAATCCATGCCCTTTAGGAGGGAGCCAGAGTATATTTGTCCCTACCACCATCCCCCACTCCATCCCCCACAGGAAAAAAAAGGTTATAAAGTATTGAGCAAATTGGTTCTGTGGGGAGAAAAGAGACAGTAGGGTAACCAATTGTTTGAGACATTTTAATTACCTACCCTGATTCATTATTATGTTGTGGAGGTGAGCCTGAGTTCTTAAGATCAATGCCAAAAGATTAAAAGCTCTGTTAAGTCCTACCAAGATGCAAAATGTTTCCAGTGTGGGCTCAGTCCATGACTATCTTCCAAAGGATTGGCCTATCTAAGGTGGATAAACTCATCTTCAGAAAGTTGCCTACTAAGTGATGAAAATTTTCAGCTGTATTATGTCATTAAGACCAATAATTAAGGCACAAAGGAATTCTGTCATGCTTCTGTGGTAGAGGAAATAAATGTACTGATGAAATCACCGATCCTTGAATTTGAACAATAAACCACTGAATCAACTGTTACTTTTGATTTTTTCGATCTCCTAGGTCTTTGGTGTTAACCCAGCCACATAGAATACAAACGTAAACACACAGCAAATAATTTGCTCAAACTCTTCCGAAGAGATCCTCATAAAAACTGAACCTAATGATAAACAAATGAGATAAAATATAGGATTTGTATCATATAAGGGTACAGGAACTGGGGGGAGTATTTACTCAGTAATTAGACTCTTCTCTTAATTACTTAATCACTACAAAGTTTGAATCTCTACAAAGTAGGAAGCCTCCCTCAATCTTCCTTTCTACTTACACCTTAAAATATGTTCTCACTCTATCAAAAACTATAAAGTAAAACATAGAATGATACAGTGATGCCTGGGCTTAAAGGGAAAACTGTCCCTACCATGTCTGGTTATCTTTAGATGTTAGAATTTCTACATGAATTGTTCACATCTTGTCACTTATAGCATCTTCCTTAAGAATTTTAGTATTCTTTTACATTTATAAAAAAAATCATAAATGAATGATTAATTCTATTTAAATATGCAATGCAACTCTTTGGAAGTGAATTCACTATCATTTTGGCCAGAGGGTAACAGGTTCTAATGTCAGCAATGACATCAGAAGTTTTCTAGTACAAATTCTTCATTTTACACATAAAGAAACTGAGGCCTAAGAAAGTAAAATGACTTGATGGATACATACATATACACACACACACACACACACACACACATATATATATATATATATTTATATATATATATTTATATATATGTGTGTGTGTGTGTGTATGTGTGTGTGTGTGTGTGTGTGTTACCAGTTCCCTCAGCATAGACAGTGAGCTCTCTCTATTGAAATGTTCTTCTTTCTTCAAAGCCCACCTCAGACAGCATCATGATGAAGCTTTTCCAGCTAGACGTAATCTCATTTTCTTTTGAATGACTCGGAACATTGTGACTCCTTTAATTTTTGTTTTTCAATAGTTTCAGTTATACCTGACTCTTCATGACCCCATTTGAAGTTTTCTTGGCAAAGATACAATAGTAGTTTGCCATTTCCTTCTCCAGCTCACTTTACAGATGAGGAAACTGAGGCAAATTAAGTGATTTCTTCAGGATCACATAGCTAGTAGTGTCAGAGGCTAGATTTAAACTCCAGGACTGGGACTTTATCCACCACACCAACTAGCTGTCCATGACCCATTTAATACATTATATCTAATAGTTTGTCAAAGCCTCAAGGACAGGGATTCTGTCTTTTTTTTTTCTTTAACCCACAGACCATGACATTTTCCAAATGTGACTTGTACACAATAAATTGAAATAAAAGGCATCATCAAGTGGATGTATGACCAGAGAAGGGAACTGGCTTATCAGGATGGAAGAATGACAGATAAGAAACAAGCATCCTGAGTGCTACACTACTATATATGAAATATTAATACAAAATCAGAGAATAGCCTCTAGGATATTAGGTAGATCCTCTATGGAGCATTTGTTCACACAATTGCAGAGACAAGAATTAAATTATATATAAAAGTTTGGAGGAGCTATGATTTGTTCCAATGAGATGACAGAGCCATTGAAGTATTGGACTGTAAATATTCCCAACATCTACCACAAGGCCTTGCACAGACTAGGAATTCAACAAGTTTCTTGAATTATAATGAATTAATAAATGAGATTTGTTGAACTGAATATAAACGAATACCTGAATAAACCAAAATACTGATTTTGCTTTGTATTTTTTTTTGTAGGGGAATACCTCCTACTCACAATGCGATTTGTGCAGGGCATCAAAATAGATTGAAACTAGAAGATACCACTGACATAAAGTGTACAATAAATGGAAAACTCATTTTTGATACATTTACTTTTCTTCTATATGGATATGAAGTAATAAAAATGGTCTATGTACATTTCTCATTTTGACAATGTTTTGAAGAATAACTTACTTAAATACATAGTGGTATGCTATTTTTGTAATATTTCTGAAGCACAAGTGAGATCACATCACTCCCCTGCTCAAAAATCTTCAGTGACTGTCCATTACCTTACTTTGTAGATTCCTTACTCTTTTATTCAAGAACATCCGTGGACTGACATCAAACTAACTTGCAATGCCAGCTTACATCACAGTTTCGTCTTTCATGCACTGTTTGTTAAAGTGTTCTACTAAGCATCTTGTCTTCCCATTGTGTCATCTTCTACTTCTAAGATCTTTCACCTTGAAACTCCACGTCCAGAACAGACTCTCTCCCCATTTCCACATTTTGAAAATCTACCATTCTTTTAAGGACCTGCTTAGGTCCTACATTCAGGAATACCCAGATATTCTCTATTCTCTCTCTCTCTCTCTCTCTCTCTCTCTCTCTCTCTCTCTCTCTCTCTCTCTCTCTCTCTCTCTCTCTCTCTCTCCCTCTCTCCTCTCTCTCTCTCTCTCTCTCTCTCTCTCTCTCTCTCTCTCTCTCTCTCTCCCTCCCTCTCTCTCTCTCCCTCTCTCTCTCTCTCCCTCCCTCTCTCTCCTTCTTTCTCCCTTTCCCTCTCCTCCCTCTCAAATCCCATTCTGTTTTTAAAATTCCTGTGCACTATCATTATAACAACAAATTACTTTCACATATAAATTATTTATGTTTAACAACTTTAGTATATAAAGCTTATTTTAAGGACTACCAAGTACTGGGAGTATGACATCCTCCTATTAAACTATAAGTTCCCTGAGAACAGGAACCATTTTTTTTCAATCTTTGTATTCCCAGAACCTAGCAGAATAATTTGCAATTAGTAGGTGCTTAAAAATGTTAATAGAAATAATAAATGTTGTGTTATCTAAAGGGATGTAAGATGAATCAGGGAAGGGTGGACTCATCACAGTATAAATCAAAAACCTGCATTAAACACTACTCTGTCCAGGGCACTGTATTAGATACTCAGAGAAATGCAAAATTTAAATAGTAGTCCTTACTCTCATGGCATGTATAGTCTAGAAAAAGAATAAGAAAGAAAGGCAAATAAGTGTACAGTAGAGTAATATATGTTGAGAACATTAGTGACATGCAAAACAAGGGGATGCGTGAGGTTTGATACCAAAAGTTGTTATCAACAGGAGGGTTCAGGGAAGCATTCATAAAGGAGTCAAGATTTGAGTTAAAGTTTCAAAGATGGATATGAATTCAATGTCAAAATCAATCAACAGACCTTCATTAAATGCCTACTATGTTCCAGGCATTCTTCTAAGCACTGGGGATACAAAAAAGAGGCAAAAGACACTCCCTGACCTCAAAGATCTTGCATTCTAATAGGGAGAAAAATTCAAATAAATACATACACTCACACACACACACACACACACATATATAAAATATATAATATGTATATGTGTGCATGTGTATATATGTGTGCATGCATATCATATATATATATATATGATGGTGATGAATTAGAAATAATTAACACAGGGAACCACTAGAGTCAAGAGGGGCTGGGAAAGGCTTCCTATAAAAGATGGGATCTTAGTTGAGACTGAAAAGGAAGCCAAGGAAGGCATGAGGGGAGGTGAGGAGGAAAGGCATTCTGTGCATAAAGATTAGGCAGAGAAAATGCCTGGATGCAAAAAAATGGAATATCTTGTTTGTGGAAGAGGAAGAAGGCCAGTGTCACTAGATCAAAGAGTAAATGTAAAAGGAGTAAAGTGTAAGAAGACTGAAAAGATAGGAGAGAGCTAGATTATGAAGGGCTCTAAGTGCCAAACAGGGCATCTTGTATTTTATCCTGAAGGTGATAGGGAGTCACTAGAGTTTCTTGTGTGTGGGTGTGCATGCGTGATATCACTGGACCTGAATTCTAAGAAAAGCATTTTGGTGGCTGAACGGAAGATGGAATGGAGTAGGGACAGATTGGAAGCAGGCAAACCCACCCTAGTGCATATATAACCTATTCCTGATTGCTTACCACCTAAGGGAGAGGACAG